AGTTTTATCAATTTTATTAGTCTCTTTGGAAAGCCAAATGTTAGCTTTGCTGATTTTCTTTAATGCAACATTCATTTTTTATTTCATCAACTTACGGGCTTATCTTTATTATCTCTTCTACTTCTTTCAGGTTTAAATTTGTTTTGTATTTTTTTTTAGTTGTTGTATTGTTGTTTTTTTTTAACTTGAGCTGGATCTCAGCCTCCCCTCTAGCAAACACATTTAAGACCATATATTATCTTCCCTTCAGTGTCCATATTTCAATGTACCTCCAACATTTGTTTAACTATATTTTTGGAGACATAATTTTTAAATTTTTATCACATTTATTTATATGTGTACATGTGGGGGTACATTACCATGGCCCATATGTAGAGGTCAGAGGACAACATTTGAGAGTTGGTTTTTCTTCTTCCACCAAGCAAGTCCCAGGAATCAAACTCAGGTCTTCAGGCTTGGCAGCAAGCACCCTTACCTACCGAGCCATCTTACTGTTTTCTTTTTTTGTTTCTTGTTGTTTGGTTTGGTTTGATTTTTCGAGACAGGGTATCTCTGTGTAGCTTTGGAGCCTGTCCTGGAACTCACTCTGTAGACCAAGACCAGCATCTTGCTAAGTAACCTAGGTTGGCTTCAAACTTGTGGTCTTCAAGACTTGGCTTCCTCAGTTGCTGAGTTTAGAAGTGTACACCACACACTCAATTTTTAGCTATAAGTTTTGATACATTTTTATTATTCGGTTAGAACTATTTTCTAATTCATATAAGACTCTTTTTATTTGACCTTGGGCTACTTAGATCATTTAACTTCCAAAACACTTGGGGATTTCCTGGTAATATCTTTGATTTCTAGTTTAATTTTATTGTGGTCATGCAAAACATGATTTAACTTCTTTGAAATTTGTTGAAAATTGCTTTTAAAACCTAGAACTTGGTATCTTTGTAAATACTTATATGTGCTGGGCTGCGATGGTGTGGTTTTTGTCATGTCAGTTAAGGGTGGACGACACTCAGATTGTTCGTAATTGTCTCTGTTGATGCTTTGGCATCCTTTCAATCCATAACCAAGGGGTATGTTCAAATCTCCCATTATGGCTGTAGATTTTCTTTCACCATTTTGTTCTCCCAGTTTGCTTTTCATGTTTTAAGGTTATATTTGTAGGTGCATACAGATTTGGAATTGATCTTTTCCTGCCAAACTGACATATTTTCATATAGGAGTGGGTGGAAACCCTGGACAACATTTGGATCCCATTCAAGTGCTGTGTACTTTTTTTTTTTGAGGGACAGGATCACTCACTGGTCTGGAACTTGCCAAGTGGGCTAGGGTGGCCCGCCAATGAGCCCCAGGGATCTTCTTGTCTCTACTCTCCAGCCTTAGGATTGTAAGCACAAGCTACTATACCTGGTTTTTTGTTTGTTTGTTTGTTTTTAAGGTAGGTTCTGGGGAAGGAACTCAGGTCCTTGCTTGTAAGACAAGCACTTTACCAGCTTGCCCTGAGCTGATAATTTGTAACTCTGAAATCTTCTTTGTCTGACTCTGCAGTGCCTGGTGCTGGTTTACAGATGCCTGTGTTTAAAGGGCTATGCTAGGATCCCCATTTCTCTGCCCCTTCCTTTCAGTCTCTCTTTGTTTATGCTTTTAATGAGTTCATGTCATTGTTTTTAATCCTGACTGACAATCCTGATCTATTTAATGGAATATCAATTCACTTAAATGCACATTCTCTACCATCTTATTCTTATCCATTTTTTCTTACTATTTTTCTTCTTTCTTTTTTTTTAACTACATTGCCTCATTTATCAAACTACCTATTGCATTCTTAATTTCCACTATTGTATTGCCCTTTCTTTATCTTTTTTCTTTTACTCATGATTTATTTATAATTAATTAATTTTAGAGGGAATCATAGAATGAGGTTTAGACAGCATCTCGGGTAACTCAGGCGGGCCTCAAACCTCTATGTAGCCAAGGATGACCTTGAACCTCCTGATCCTTCTTCCTGCCTCCACCTCCCAAGTTCTGGAATGACAGGCATGTGCTGCCATGCCTGACTTTTATAGAATTTCTTTTTCAGTATTTGGAGATAACGTTTATCATATGGCGAAATCCTTCATCTGTTCATCTTTTTTTCTTGACTCTATCCATCACAGTTATCTTAAAGTTCTCATCTAGAAAGTCTGATGCAAACCACATCTATCTATCTACCAATGACTCTCTAGGTCAAACTCTGGGCTGCTCTGCTGGGCGCACTCCTGGGGGCAGAACACTCACTTGGTGGCTGAGCAGTGTCAGCCTCACATGCCTGAAGCTGTCAGCTGTCATCCGAACCCTTCAACTCTCCTTCTTCACTCAGCCTTTTGAGCAGGCTAGCTCGGACTTGTCCAGGAGGCAGACATTTTCTGAGAGGGTAAAAGTGAAATCTGCAGGTCTTTTGAGGCCGAAGCTTACAACACATAGCCTGCTTCCACTGTGGTGGAAACAGCCTTGGATCTTTAATGGCAGGAACAAAGAGGGATTTTCAGCTATCTTTAACAGCCACTATTTTCATACTCCTCCCTAAAACAATGTTCTTTCTCCCTCCAACACACGTAGAGGTCTCACTAATTGCAGACACCACCACATGTTCCAGCCTTCTGTCATCTGCCTTTTTTGTTTTCTGGTTCTAAAATCAATGCCAAATATTATATATAAGGTTGATGTCTCAATGTCCCACCTCTGAATTCTAAAATAACTTTTGTTTTTCTTTCCTTCCTTCTTCCACTCCTTCCTTTCTCTTTTCTCCTCAGTGCTAGGGATTGGTGCCAGTTCATGCTAGGCAAACATTGTACCTTTAATCTATGTTCCCAGTCCCACATCCCACTTTTTGAGACTGGGTCTCACTATGTAGTCCTAACTGGCCTAGAACTCTCTGTATAGTCCAGGCAAGCCTCCAAGTCACAGAGATCCACCTGCCTCTGCTTCCTGAGTACTGGGATTAAAAGCATTCACCAACGCACTCAGCTCCCCATTCTTTTTTTTAACTTTTTAAAAATTTGTATTTTATGTAGATGGGTGCTTTATGTGTATATATATGTGTGTGTGTGTGTGTGTGGGGGTGTGTGTGTGTGTGTGTGTGTGTGTGTGTGTGTGTGTGTGTGTGTGTGTGTGTGCAGCATGTGTCCTTGAAGTTCAGAAGAGGGTGTTGGATTCCCTGGAACTAGAGTTAGAGATAGTTGTAAGGTGCCATGTGGGTGCTGGAAACTTAACCCAGTACTTCTGGAAGTACAAGCATCAAATACTCTTAACTGCTAAGCCATCTCTTCAGGCAGGATCTCATTAGGTTGTTCAGGCTGGCCTTGAACTCTGTTACCCAGGAAGGGTCTGAACTTATGATTCTCGTGCATAGCCTTCTAAATATCTGGGATTAGGTGTCCAGCTTCTAATTTCTTTATCAGCTACCTATTACTGAGCAGTAAACCATAAGCAATTGTTGTGGTTTAACAGTTACTTGTCTTGCTCACAGCTCCATGGGTCAGGAGTGTGGACTCAGCTTTGCTGGAAGGTGGCTCTGTGGTTGTGCTGGGGATGACTCAGGCAGCAGCAGGCACCAGTAGCTTGCTTAGGGCTGGGTGGTCCAAGATGGCTCAGTCACATGTCTACAATCAGTGCTGACTGATGGCTGGACACCTCCACTCACCTCCCTGCAACCACTCCCACCACAATCCCAACACCTGTGTTTCCACACATGGTGAGTTGCCCAGGACTCTATAGTCACATTAGGTCACGAGGTCAGCTCAAATTCAAACAGTGCAAAAACAACCATCTCCTGAGGCTGAGAGAGCCTTTAGCAGTTGAGATTGCAGAATGCAACACACCTGCAGATCTCTAGCTAGGACCTGTTTTTTCCCTTATTTTTCAACTTTTATATATGGACAAAACAAAAACAAGCAAACCAAAAAACTACAGAAGTTCCAAGATATCTCTGTACAGATGAGTTGGTTTTCCTCTAATATGAAAAAGAAATCTGGGCTAGTTTGGGCTTGAGGTTTTGCAGGGACCTCAACTAAAAATTTTTGGCTGTTTCTGGGGCCCCATCCTAGAACAGTCTGAATCCCAAGCCTGCTGTCCCCAGTGGCAAGAGCCTGCTGGCTTCTCTGCTTTATTTTTACTCCCTCCCAGCAGCCACTATTGCTCTGTGAGAACCCACAGCTATTTCCAAGGGGGAACTGTGTGAAAAAAGATACCCTGATAGCCTTTGTTCTCTGGAATCCTGTCACTTGTATCCTGGTGGCTCTGTAGCCCAGGCTCCACTGTTTTCCTCCCAGCCCAGGAAGCCCCACCATCCCATCTGGTGTAGACATTTCCCACACTTCTCTGAGAAGGAAGCACAGCCTGGAGGGTAGGCTGGCTTCCTCTTGCCTCTTGTTTTCTGGGCTTGGGGCCCTTCAAGTCTAGCTTTCCCAGAGGCTCCCAGCAGTTCTCTGTTGCCAATGGCTAGTCAAATTTGAGCTTCACAGACTCTTCAGGCTTCTCTATTGCCCTGATGCCTTCCAGACTAATTTCTGTGCACACAGATGGCCTGGTCATGGGCCTGCTTTCTCTGGTAGTGTTTCTAAAGGGATCTTTCTAGAAGGAGCTTTAGAGATAAACCAGTGAAGAACCCTGAGCAGTCTCAGGGAACAGAGCCCTCATTAACAGGGCTGTAGTCCTACCCCCTCTAAGGGTATTCCCTGACTCTGCTGTTAGAGTTGCAACCCTTGCAAACTAGGGGTACAAACACCTACTCGAGTTCCAAAATACAAGCAGGGAAAGGATCCTTCTCCCCACCTGTGGTGAGACAACCTTCCCTTTCCCTTTTAGAAACCCTAGCCTCTGGCTTCTCTAGATACAGGGCAAGCCCTGGATAGAATGTTCTCCTTGTTCCTGGAGAGACCATCCATGTTTGACCAGGGTACCTTTGGCATGTGTTGAAGGGCTACCAACATGAAACCTGCTCACACTCTGCTCCCCCTCCTCCACAGGCTGCGGGAGCATCATCGGGCCACCATCAAGGTAATCAGGCGCATGCAGTACTTTGTAGCCAAGAAGAAATTCCAGGTGAGATCATGTCCAGTGCACACGACCCCAAAAAGACTACAGTGGTAGTATGCCCTCACCCTTAGATGCCAATATGCTGTGACAGCAGACTCCATCAAGGACACCATACCCAGCCCTGGCCCAGGGACCCTTTGTCCCTCCATCTGGATTGATAGAAGGAATTACATGGCCTTACTTCTCCTTCTGTGAAAGGTTGTGATAGTGACAACCTGGCAATGTTACCTGGACAAGAAGTGTCACCTGTTCTTAGCCAGCCTGGAGTTTTCTGTATCCTACTGTACCTACACTGCATCCTGCATAGTGAACAGGAGCTCCTGAGCTGGCAAGAGTGCAGCTCTGGGATCCATTTGCCATCAACCCACCTCCAGAGTTGTTCTCCTGAGGCCCTGAGTCCAGGGCTCTCTGACAATAAATGGCAGGCTATATTCCTCCTCTACTATGGGACAGTTGTGAGCAGAAGTCATGGGGATGACAAATCCTTACTTCTCACTTTGAGAACAGGTCAACAGCAGCAAGGGGTAGAGGGCATTCTCTTACCACAGGCCCCTTGTCCCTGGGGAAGAAGGCTGGGACAACCTACCTTAGTCTCCAAGGATAATCTCAATGGTAGCCCTGTGTCTTGTTACAGGCCACACCTTCCACACCAGGCCATGGGATTGACACAGGCTCCTAATGTCCCCTCAGCACAGCTCCCACCCCATCCATAAGCAGCCAAAACCTCCATATTCTGTGAAAGGTAGGGGCTAAAACAGTTCCCATCCTAGGTTATCATTGTTGTATGAGAGGAGCTTTGGTTGACATGAGTCTCACTCATTGTAGTCCTCAGCTCCTCAACTGTTACTAGTCCAGCCCTAAGAATAGCCCTTTGAGCTAGCCACTGTCCCTCTTGCCAAGCTCCTGACACTAATGAGAACAGCATGTGGCTTCTCACCCTAGCTACTCACTGCCACCCTGGAGGGACCCTGTGCACATTCAACAGTACCATGGTGGCATTCTGCTGCCCCCTTGTTAGACTGCACCCCCTGGTACTGTCACAACTCAAGTAGACCAAGTTACGCCCAAGCTCCCACCACAGCTAGGGACTTCATGTTGTCAAAAGGAATAAGGATCACACTCAGCAGGGGCCAAATCCAGGAGGCACCTGGCAATGTACTAGAAGTGTCCAAAGGCCCCAGGGAGATGGCAGTTGTGCCTCTCTCCCTACTTAGAAGCCATGTGCCCGATAGCTCCACTGCTGAGGTGCTAAAGAAAAGAGGAAGATGAGACAGCCTCCCGTAGAACCAGCTCTTCCCAGGTTGGCAAGGAGCCACAAGAACCCCATAGGGAGTCACATCTTGACAAGACAGTCTCTCAGGGGCAAAGGAGGGGCTAGGGTGTGACACTCTTACTGGGAAGCAGTATAGCGTAAATTGCTAGTGTTTAAAGGGTCATGAGAAATTGCTAGGTCATGACAGTCCCCAGGCTGAGATGTGGCCCCTGTAGATGTTGGAGTAGGTTCCACATGAAACAGTACAGTACCTGCTTGCTAGGTTTTATGTCGTTGTGCTGGGTAGGCCCATGGTTCCCTGGGGTCCAAGTCTAGAGTCTGGATACCCCATGGAGCACAAAGACCCTCATGGTTTCCAAGTAGCCCTGCTTTGAGTCAGAGGTTATCTTAGTGGCCCATTCAGATCCATTCTCTATGGAACAAACAAGGGGCCTGTTTGTTGACATGTTTGGCGGCTGAGGAGCCAGAGCCCTGCACTTTCTTTCAGACTAAGGACACTAGGTCCTAAGAGTGGCTCAGGAAGCTGCCAGAACAGGCCAAACAACTCCTACCTTCCTGCTCTCTGCTTCTCCCCGCTACACTCATCCCAGGTGCTGGAGGGGCCCTGTGGGGTACAGAGGCTTTTAGGTAAAGAAAAGTAAGGGCTCTACAATGAGCTGGCTTTATTGCTGGGGACACATGGACAGGTGGTGGAAGGCCTCCAAGGAAGAGTGAGGTAGGTGAAGAGGGAGCCCCCTGTGAGGAGGGCTCTAAGGGCTCCAGACCACCTTAGTAACCCAGATTTCTTGCCTCAGCCATTCACCCACCTGCTCCCCACCTACCCCTGCTGGTCTTAATGAAGGCATACCTGCCTGCCCTGCTGGCTGATAAGTCTTTGTCTAGTCACCTTTGTGTCTAGCCTGAGGAACCAGGGCCTCTTAGCCCTGAAAGTTTATCTTGAGCACCCACATCCATAGTCCGGTCAGTCTGGACAGGCAGCATTATCTTGGCTCATCTCTGGCTCCTGCTGCCACAAGGGGACATTAAGCTTAGGAGAAAGCTGAGATGGTCTCTTATACTAGATCCAGGCAGATATCTGACAGAGACACCTCAAGCCCCAACCAGATGCTGGAGGGGAGCTTAGCAGCTCCAAGATAAGTTTCAACCTGGGTACTTCTGGTCATGGGTGGTTGGTGGAGTACCTCTAGACCTCCTCTTACTCCTTTTTTTAATTAAATTTTTTTTAATTTTTAATTTTTTTGAGACAGGGTTTCTCTGTGTGGCCTAGTTGTTCTGGAACTTACTCTGTAGGCAGGCTGGCCTCAAACTCAGAGATCCACCAGCCTTTGCCTCCCAAGTGCTGGGATTAAAAGCATGTGCCACCACTGCCTGGCTTTTCAATCCTTCTTAACTGTACCCTGCTTGCAGCCCCCTACCCTGATCTGCAGGCCTGCATACTCACACCTCCCACCACCCGTTTAATCACTTGTGTGTTCAAAGAGGCTAACAAAGGTACCCATGCACACTTGGACTCAGTGGCCCTCAGACTCTCAGACCATCCATAGATCAACCTAAGGACCTGTCTTTCTCCTCATCCAGGCCTGCACTGCCTCAAGCTGTAGTTTCTGTCTCCCTTGTTCATTTGCCCCATGCACTACCAGGCATGCCTAGAGGGGCCACACACTTTGTAAAGCATTTTGACCCACAAATTCTCTTCCCTATTACTGAGGTGACCTTCAGTGTGCACTAAGGAGAGACCCAGGTCCTGAACTCAGTCATGGCCACCTCTGACTGACAAGGTGCTGCATCAGGATTCCTTGGCATTGCTCATCTTAGCTCTTATTTTATTTATTCCCTCCTAGACACAGCAGAGTAGACCTCAGCAGTCCATTTTCCAGAAAAAAAGGAACAGACTCAGTGTCCTGTTTTATAGAAGACAAGGACAAGGCTCAGAATCTCATCTTAGAGAAGGGAGGATTAGGGCTTCTATCTCCATCTTACAGAAGATCATAAGACCTGGAGACATTATCAAGTGCAGTTCTTAGACTGCCATAGCTACATGTGCACAGGACCAACCCGTGCTGTCCCAAGCTTGGCCTCATAACAGTAGTTGGGTATGTAGGCCACAGAAGTGGTGGTCCTGGTGCGTAGAATGACCCTGGGCATGGTGGGTCCGTCCTTCAGGAGAGCCAGACTGTGTTATGGGAAGTCTGAGTGGCATTGGGGGGCATCTAGAATGCATGGTGTGCTAGCTCCCACCCCAAGAATCAGCAAGTATGTCAGTCTAGGGCCCAGATGGACTGTGGATATGCAACACCATGTCTCTGGCCTGTTGGGCCAGTTCTTCCTGAGAAAGCTTGGAATCAGGGCCAATAGACTAGTAGGAGCTAGCTAGTCCTTCTGGTAAAATGACAGAAGGTGAAGGCCCAGGCAGGCTAAACTGGCAACTTGCAAGGGTCAAGTCTGCTGCTCTATGTGTTCTAAGCCATTCCTCCCTATCACTGCCCCCTCAACCTGCATTTAGAACTGAGCCCACAGGACTCAGGGGAAAGTGACACATGTCTTTCTGACCTACAGCAAGCACGGAAGCCCTACGACGTTCGGGATGTCATCGAGCAGTACTCTCAAGGCCACCTCAACCTTATGGTGCGCATTAAAGAGCTACAGAGAAGGTGGGCACAGAAATGGGTGTGGAGACATGGCCCCAGGAGGCCCTGCCCCAGCCTCACAGGGAAAGAAAGAGTTCTTAGTGAGACCCACCTCTGAGTTAACCTCCATCCATGGATCTTCCTGCCACTGGAGTGGAGCTAAGGATCCTGACCGTTCAGAGCCAACACAGTCTGGAATTCCGGCTTGGATCCTATTTCCATAGAAGCAATGTGGTCCCTAGGGGCCCAACACAGGTTTGGACCTAGAAGGCTAGCTTCATGGGCTAGCTCACAAACCTAACTCTGTGGATGCCATGGGGTGCAGCTGGGAGAATGTGACTGTGCCTTCCATAGACAAATGTTCAGGGCCTCCGTGTTTTGACTCTACTCATCTCATCCAGGGAAAGTCTTAAGTATCCCAGCTTCTGCCCCTCATCTTTGAACTTCCTGCCTGGCCCTCTTAAGAGCATGGGCCACAGGGTCTCAGGTGCCTCTTGGCAGGTCTTTGAATGGCAATGAAATATACCCCTGGAGTGAGTGTCATGTTGTCCACCTAAACACAATGTCCTGTCTTTGTGGTACTCCAGGCATTGTGTGAGCTTGTGTCCCTCTCTTCTTTCCCAGGCTGGACCAGTCCATTGGAAAGCCATCTTTGTTCATCCCCATTTCAGGTGGGTGTCTGCACTCGTACCTGGACAGGGAAACCCATGATCCAGTCTCTCTCTCTCTCTCTCTCTCTCTCTCTCTCTCTCTCTCCCTC